GCACGAGATGAAAAAGGTTCTACGACAACATCCTGCTCGTACAATCACCGAACTGAGACAAATGCTTCAAGAAATATGGGATTGTTTTACACCAAATTTTTGCCAAAACTTGGTTAACACTATGCCCCAAAGAATTTCAGCCGTAATAAAAAATAAAGGTGATGTTAACGTAATCTTTCAATTGTTGCTTTGTTAACGTCGCGCATTTATTCGCACATTGTTTATTTGTTCTATTAGTTATAGGTCTAAAAGATTTCAAATATGTATTTTTTACGACTAGAGTGTATCTAAAATGTTTTTGAGAAAATAAACTGTTTTAGAAGTAAATATTTTCGTCATGTTTAGTTTATAAAGGCATATTTTGGTACAAATCTTGAAGTAGGCCAACTGAAGTGAGAAGGGGCTCGTACTTGGTTTATATATGTAAACAAAGTTATTACTTACTTTAAGATTGAAGTTCAGGAAGATGTAATCTAGGAAAAGCTGTTCTTTTCAGACCTCTCTTAGTTACAGGCACTTTATCATTTTCCAAAAAATGTAAGTCACACACCAAATGGCTTTTATAAATTTGTTCTTGAATTTGATTGTCCAAAACTGGATTTCGCACGTGCTCGATCTATTTTTTAAAAAAAGCGGCATCATATTTTGGAAATGTATGTCTTTTACTGATTGTATCAGTACAACCAGGTGCCACGCACTGTTTAAATCACCGCTTTTGATAAGCCTCCATTACAAAGATTGAGTTTGTAAATTTAAATTCAGCTTAATGCGCAATAGATATCAGTATCACTGACACAAAACTAATTAAAATGCCGGCGCCGCACAAAATTCAACTTTCAATTAAAAATGACGAATACATCAACGTCAAAGCATTGAACACTGGGCAGTCAAAAAGAACGACGGGAAAATCCAGCACCAGCGCCACTCTATGGTTGCACTCCGTACTAACTATATAAGAATGTATGGTTGCCTACCAAACATACCTTCAAAGTCACTCATTCAACTTGTTTTTATAAGGTAGGTGCTCAAAATAAGTAACTAAAGCAATGTTAGGTTTACATCCATATTTTTTACGACCTCAAATTGCTTATTTGAACAACTGACAGTGTGTTTGACATGGTTGTCAGTAAAACCGTGAAAAGAACTAAGCTCCGATCAGGGCAGTATAAAAATGTAGTGTTTTCTAAACATTATATGTCAGTTCGGCAACTCCGCCTGAATACAAGACCAAACACGAGCATCCTTAGCAACATGTGGAACCATCTATAAACGAATTGTTAAGCCAAAGCTGTTTTTGAAAATCAATAATAGTCCAAGAGCCGATCGAAAAATTTTTGTTATATTGCATACTGATATATGTCAAAAACTTGTCAAATTTTACGTTGTTTTATACCAAACATCAAAAGTTCAGAGTTTGCTGCTTAACGTACAGGTAGGATTTGACCAGTTTTTATCATAATATGCCAATACGCGATGCTGTAACCAAAACTTTTCGGATTATAAAGACAATCCACGAAACATCTTCTCGCGATATAACATGTCCTTGGTTATACTTCGATGATTCCAATCATCCTATTGCGATTCCCTTTCATTTTTCATTAATCCACTTTAACCCATCTGATAATAACAGCTTCTACCTACGTTAGGGCATGGGCCGATGACATCATAGAAACATAAAATAAACTGCTAGAATCTCCATGTTAACAAAAGGTCCAAATTGTCAAGATAAACTACCAAACATCCCGGTCGAAAGATTCATACGAAATCTATAATGCGACGCACGTCGCAGAATTGGCATGCACGCAACAGCCCTCATTTCAGGGGCCGCGTAATAGAACTGAATTTGTGGTTGGAAATAATTTCGGGTAGCTTGTCAACCACAGTATCCCGTATGATATACTGATATGCGTTTCGTCTATTACAAATGAGAACCATAGTTAATTCAGGCAAATTGTAGCTTCCACAGAGCTCTGTAGGGAACTAAAGCCATGCAAATTGAAAATTTCGTGACAAGCATGCTGCAATAACACGGGCGTCGCTGTCGAATATTGATATTGCGATATTTTTTGATACCTTCTTGTATCAAAGAGCATCAATCTCGTGTGTGCAGTTGACAGACCAAAATATCGAAGACAAATGTGGAGAAGAACATGACACGAGTAGAGGGAAACAGGGGGAGCTGTATAGATCATATGTTTATAAATTCACGTATAGAACTTAACAAAATATATTCAGCAATCCTGAAATACAAAATTTCTTGTCATTTTCCTACTTTGCTCAAAATCGATCTTGAAAGTACATAAACAAAAATTGAAAAGACAGTGAATAATACAAAAATTTACATTGATTGTGAAAAACTAAACAACAACTTGTTCAATGAAAATTGGATTGCAGTATATAACGAACCTAACATCGAAAATGCATTTGTCCTTTTTATATCTAGCATTGAAGACCATATTGCTGAATGCACCAAAACAGTAAAGATTCCACGAACACAAATAGAAAGACAAGCATGGATATCAAAAGGGATTATTACCTCTATCAACAAAAAAATAGAATTAGGGAACCAAAAAATATCCTCATGATGTGAATCATACAGAGTACCTTGTGAAGAGACTGAGATGTATTATTCCAAAATTCAGGTACTTCAGAGATATTCTGGATAAGAAATATCTATACAATCCTCTATTACTTTACGGAATTTTGCTTGGGGGGAGTTATGAATAATAATTACAAAAAGGTTGATGTAATCCAAAAATTAATTCTAAAATTGATCCTCCATAGGGAGATTACTCATTCAAGTAATTCTCTATATGTGGATGCTCAGCTATTAGATTGCAGACAAATTTATTTTTATTGTGGTCTAATACATTGTATTAAATATTCGAAATACTTGAATCGTACCATTCATAACTACCGGACAAGATTCAATCAAAATTCAATGTGAATTCCAGAAACATCAAAAACCATTACACAACGATCTCTGTTTTTCTTTTCTATAGCTTCATACCAGAATCATTAAAAGTAATTAAATCAAATAGATCATTTAAAAAAGAACTAAAAAAATGGATTTTACAACAACCAAGGTGCTCCATCCACGAAACTGTAGATATTAAAAATCATTATCAAAATCAATGATATTTTACTTACACTACATCCATACTTTTACATTAGTTATAAATCTGGATAGTTTTCCTACACTGACTGTACTTCTTTTTAACAAACCCAAATACAAATGCAAACTTTTTTGGGTACTTTATGTTTATTGTTCACAATATTTATCTACCTGTATTTTGTGACAATAAACATTATTATTATTTGAATATTACAGAATTATTTATTGATAAAGCAACAACAAAGCTCTCTCCGAGAGCGGACATCAGGTCCCATTAGCTCTCATTTCTCTGAAATTACACTACTTCCAAGCGTAAATAGTAGCTTAAGTGTCTATCAGTGTGTCTATAAGGGATGGGCGGACGGTACGGATCTTTTTTTTTAAATTGTCAATTTCCAGGTTTACAGTTACTTTGCTGTGATTGACTAGAGGCTTCATAACGGGAGAGTGCAGTAGGGTACTAGGTCGAAAACATTAGTTCCAGCTACGGACCTAGAATTACTGTATAGTAATATGATTTGTGACTTTGAAACTCAAATGGTAGCCTCAAACATTTTAAACTTGTCCTTAAAACTTGAATGCGGTTTTCGCATCGCATCGAGGGGCATACATGAATACAATATTCTAGCGTAAAGCAGACAGTTGAAGATTTCAAGATGACAACTAGGCGCCATTTTGGAGCATATTGTCTAATAAAAAATGAGGTCGTGTGACATCGCATTTTAAAGCTCTTCATGAGTGCTAACAAAATAGCTAGTAGCTTGGAAGGGTTTATTAGAATATGTAAGGAAATTTGAGACATGTCTTTAGAAAATTGTTAATTTCTGTCCATTTTTATAGTCTGAATGCCATATACCTTATTGGGCGGCCAGATAGACCATTCTAACCGTTTGATTATTTGTTTAATTAAAATCAATTCAATACATAATAACGCCCAACTTGGACAGCCTGGCAGTCTGTCATTTTATGATAGTGATTTATGTTTATTTATTTATGAGAAGCTTCAAAATTAAGTATTACGCATTCTTCCATTCAATTTAAAAAGTTGTTTCGAGATTACGCTCAGCCACCATCTTGAAATTTTCCACTGTAATTCTTTTTTTAAAATACGGTATTCACTTGACTTGTTCAATAAATAAGTACTCTCTACTTATTTCTGAACCCGGGGGGCCCCCGGTCATAGAATACTTGGAAAGAAAAACGTACCTTAGTCCAAAACAAAAAGATATTGTTTCGAGATCTGTCTAGTGAGGTTCATTCTTATTTTTTATCAACTTTCTATCGATTTTAGTTAAGGTACACCTCAAAAATATTGAAAAGAGAAATGTTACGTTTTTTCTTCAGAAAAGCACACACGAGTAAACTTTAACGAGTAAACAACGTTTTCTACACTATTTTTTAGATTCACTATTTCATTATATCAAGAAAATTAAGAATATCCATAAAACTTGTATTGTCTTCACTTTACAAGTTGAAAACAAAAAACTATGTAAATTTGCTCAAAATTGCACAAAACAATTTATGAACGTGTAAAGTAAATGACAGAAAAGTCTGGTCCTCCAGGTTGGAGGTGAATTGATGGGCCAACCTCCCATCATTCGTCAAAAATTTTACGAGTTAAAAACTTCAATCAAATGCCTCGGAATCCGGATGATAAAAATAGAACGGCAACGGAAATGGATAATGAATTTTGGAACATGGAATATTCGTCTAGAAGTTTTTGATGAAATGAACAGAAACTAAGAAAAAGGGAAAAGGAAATGAAGAGGTAGGGGATTATATAATGTTTTATAGTGGAGTAAGAAAAACTAGAGAGCAAAAAGGTTAGTTGGAATAACGGTGCACAATAAACATAAGTCAAATATGACGAGTTGGGAAGAAATAGATGACGTTAGAACTGAAGAAAAATGGATATGACATTGTCATTGTGGGAGTTTACGCTCCGACAGATGACGCAGAGGTTTTGATTAAAGATCAGTTTTATGAGACTTTGACACAAGTTCTGACAAACATCAATCCAAAGAAAGAAATTTTTATCTTTGTTGGCTTGAACGCTCGTACTGGATGTTTTATGGATAGGGCAGTTGTTGGAAAATATGGTGAAGAGGCACTCAACGACAGTGGCCAAAGATTAATTATTACGGATTATGAATGGATTTTTTCCTCACAAAATGATACATAAATATACATGGATTCAACCAAAACGAAAACTAACAAGTATCATAGATTATGTGATCCAACGACAGAATTCTCTATTAAAAATCAGAGATGTGAAAGTGCAGAGAGGACCTGAATGCAGTTCTGATCATTTCATGGTGAAGGCAAAAGTGCTAGTTAACAACAGACTTTTTCGAAAACAAAAGCAAGACATAAGCACAGATAACACAGAACAAAACTTAGAGCTTTCCAAATACAATTTGCGGAATTTGAACCAGGAATCGGCCCAATTTTTATATAACTTGAGACTGGCTAATAAAATCAAAAATTAAAAACCAGCTAAAACCCGTTGAAATGGACTTCCTACGCCGGTCGTGTAGAGTATCTAGATCGGAGCATATCCGAAACGATATGATCAGAGAAAGGAAGTGTGTACAAGATACCATTGTGGATAAAGTGGAAAGAAGACAACTAGTACGGTACGGCCATGTCATGAGAATGGCTGATGAAAGATGGCCAAGGAAGATGGTATCATATCCCAACCAACAGAAGGAAGAGAGGTAGGCCAAACACATCGTGGAGGAAAAGGACAGAAGAAGCCATGAGGAAAAGGGAAATTAATAAAGGAGATTGGGAGAACAGAAGAGAATGGCGATTGAAGTGCGAGAAGCGGTAGCAGCCGTAGGACCCTAGGCCTTTTGTCGGGTACTTCGACAAAATTTAAGCAAGGAGGACTCTTTATACTTTTTTAATCTCTCTAGCTTTCAATGGTCTTTGCCATCATCATCAGGAGAGTAGAATGTAACGATGTTGCTAAATGTTATTTACGTTAAGGATGAGGGAAACACTCAGTAACATGGTGAAAGCTGGATACATGGTACAATAGTCAAAATTATACAAACTACACACAGCTGTATGACAAGAACAAATTAAAAACAGATTAAAAATATTTAAAGCGAAAGTTAAGCATTACATCGTGAAACCACTTGATTGGTGCAATCAAGTGCTTAAATTTTGTCGAAGTACTCAACAAAAGGCGGAAGCTTTAATTTTTCACCTAACTGGTCTAGACGACAATGACCACGTCTCAAGTTTTATATACAGGGTGACTTTGAAGTTGAGTCATTAATTTACAGATAATGATTGTAGAAGGAAGATAAACCAAAATATGTGTGTAAAAATAAAAAAAAAATAAAAAAAAAATGTTTACCTTGTTTTATAAAGTATCCTCCCGACAAGTATTTCAGTGCGGACCTGTATTTGATCGTGAGGTCCCCTCTGAGGTCTTAAGTCACCTGATTCACGAGCCCGTTGTACTACATTAACAAAGGCACGAGGGGTTGGTTGCACTCGATTGGGAAACCGATCCGCATAAACATGTGCCATTTTTTATTTCGTTTGAGCCACGCAACAGATACCACCATTCACTGACACTGACTGTATACAAATGAATGAGATACTTGTAAAAACATCGTTCCAAATTCTTTCGCTTTTTTGTTTCCGATGCGATGAACCGATACGGCGGATTATATCCGTTGTCGCCAAACACGACCACATAATATTGTTATTGAGACAGGGCGGTACTCAAACTTCCAAAGGGCTATAACTTTGTTACTTTAATTTTACCAGGAAAATGGTAAAGGAAAAAAACATTTCTTTTGATCAGATCTACTCACTGTTAAAATAAATGACTCAACTTCGAAGTCACCCTGTATATACACTATCTTTTAAACTTTGTTTCATCAGTACAAACTGAGAACCTGATTTTACGGTTGAAGTATTATCAAAAATGAGTTTTCTGTCAGACCGTAACGCTTACTTTTGAGATATTAAATGAGATTGATGTGAATACTTCTGATTTTCTGACTAACCTTTTTGAACTAATTAAAAAAAGTTTCAAACAGGTTACTTTCTGGTTGGCATTGATCTGATCAAAACAGCTATTGGAGCTACCATGAATGCTAGAGGAAATTAAAAAGTATCAATGGTTGTCTTTGAGCAGCTTTCGACGAATGAGACGAAACTGTCTAATCAATCATAATCTCGTATGTAGATATATATATATATATACTTTTGCTTATTGTGAAATCTATTGTTTCAGTGTGGACATCAGTCAAGCGCACCGAAACGGTACCTACTATCAGTGCTGCACAGGTTTCTGCATAGACCTGCTCCAAAAGTTCGAACAAGAACTCGGCTTCACCTACGAACTGGTGCGAGTAGAAGATGGCAGATGGGGCACCAACGAAAATGGCAAGTGGAACGGGCTGATAGCTGATCTAGTCAACAGGAAAACCGATATGGTGCTCACATCGCTCATGATCAACGCTGAAAGAGAGGCTGTGGTGAGTGATCATATATACAGGGCGACTTTGAAGTTGAGTCATTAATTTTCAGATAATGATTGTAGAAGGAAGATAAACAAAAATATGTGTGTAAAAATAAAAAAAAATGTTACCAGCATTTTGTAAATAAGAATCATGTCCACAATTTCAGCATTTTCGTAAACATGTGCCATTTTTTATTTCGTTTGAGCCACGCAACAAGCACCTCTATTCACTCACGCGTTACCGACTGACACATTGACTGAATACAACTGAATAAAATTGTAGTAAAAACAGCGTGATAAGCGTTTCAAATTCTTTCGCTTTTTTGTTTCCGATGCGATAAACTGATAAGGCGGATTATATCCGTTGTTGCCAAACACGAGCACATAATATTATTATTGAGACAGGGCGGTACTCAAACTTCTAAAGGGCTATAACTTTGTTACTTGAATTTTACCAGAAAAATTTTATAGGAAAAAAACATTTCTTTTGATCAGATCTACTCACTGTTAAAATAAATGACTCAACTTCGAAGTCACCCTGTATAGTTCTCCTAATGGCTTTTGCCTGTTACGTCACAATGACATACAAAATAAGCAAACAGATTAACTGATTGGGCCATGTACGAACATTTTATGGAGCCACTTAATGTTGAAGAGAAAACGAGTGTCTTACTTGACATATTGTCATTTCTACAGTTAATGCAATTTAGTAAAATTTACAATTCAAATAACCATTTATTAGACTTGATACTTAGAAACGAATGTTCAATGTATAATATTTCAAATTCGGTTGACATATTGGTTCCTGAGGACAATCACCATCCTGCAATTACATTTTGTTTTAAGCATGATTTACTTAAGCCATTAATGCACCATAGCCGATGCCTTTACAACTTTAATAAAGCTGACTATACTTCCATAAACAATAATACTCTTTTAGACATAGAATGGGAAAAATTATTTAGTACTAAATCTATAGATGAAGCTGTAGCCATATTGTATAACATACTCAATGAAACTATTCACAAATTTACACCAACATATAAAATTTGGGGAAAATACCCAATATACTTTAAACTTGAAACAATACAAACAGTTATGAGAAAAAATAAGTATCATAGGCTATACAGACGTTTTAATGATCCATACTCATACCATATATTCTGTGACCTTAGAGCCAAATCAAAAATCTTAATTAAGGAAAACCTGGATGAATACATAACAATGATGGAAAACAATATATTGAACGACAGCCGACACTTTTGGAAATACGTTTCAAGTAAGAAAAAATGTCATGTCTCTATACCTAGTTCTATAAATCATTCAAACTATGAAGTTAAAACCGGAAGAGGGGTGTGTAATGCCTTTGCTGATTTCTTTGCAAGTGTATATGTTAAATCTAAACATTTTTATTCAAACAAGGATGCTAGTCCTATTGATGTTACCTTAATATCCATTGAAAAGACATATCAACAAATAATGTCCTTAGAAATTAAAAAGTCAGTAGGCCCTGACGGCATACTTCCTGTATTTATAAAAAACTGTTCCGCTAGCTTATGTTTACCACTTCACCTAATTTTCAAACTACCATTAACTCAAAGAGTCTTTCCAACGAGATGGAAAGAAGGTGAAATATTGCCTATTCATAAAGGAGGCGATAGACATCTTGTGGAAAATTATCGACCTATCACTAAACTTTGTATTTTCTCAAACATTTTTGAAGAGCTGATTTATGATGCTATCTTAAACGTTACAAAAAATATCATTACGGAACACCAGCATGGATTTTTCCCTAAAACATCTGTAGAGACGAATTTGATGAGTTTTATAGAATATGCCTCTCACGCAATAGATGAGAAATTGCAGGTGGATGTTATTTATACCGACTTCAGTAAGGCTTTCGACAAGATTGATCATTCTATCTTGATGAAGAGACTTGCTGAGGTGGGTGTAGATGATCCATTATGGCAGTGGCTAGCATCGTTATTATAAGTAATCGTAAACAAGTGGTGACTATCAATGGGTATCGTTCGGAGACATTCTTAGTAACTTCAGGCGTACCACAAGGTAGTCACTTAGGACCACTGTTATTTAACATATACATGAACAACCTTACTTCTGCTTTTCATTTCAGTAAATATTTGTTATATGCTGATGATCTAAAGATATTTACTATTGTTAGAAATGTAAATGACGGTGTAAAACTTCAAAGCGATTTGAAATATCTGCAAAAGTATTGCACTGAAAACAGTAACTTCCTGAATTTAACAAAATGCCATTACATGAGGCTTACTAGAAACATAGCGAACACTATAGATTTCAGATATAAGATAGGGACGGCAGAACTGGAAAAGCTTCATGTAGTAAAAGACCCAGGGGTATACATTGATGAGAAACTCTCATTCATCACTCACGTAGAGCACATCGTAAGTGATGCAAATAGAACACTAGGCTCCATAAACAGGACATGCAGAGAATTTACGAACTGAAAAATGCTTCCTTCATTGTAATACGCTTATATAGACAACAAATTGATGTTTGCATCAGTAATATGGAATCCGTCTTACAATGTACATATAGCCAGGATAGAAAGAATTCAACACAAATTTTTGATGATATTAGCACATAAAACTCACCAACCTGTTACAGATCATCATTACACGCAAATTATGAAACAGTTCAATATGATTTCCTTAAAATATAGAAGAACGATTTCGGACATTTGCTATGTTCATAAATTGTTGAATGACTTCACTGACTGTCCGGATCTTTTGGCAAACTTTAACACTCCTGATAGAACGATTAGAACCTATCATCTGTTTAGAATACCGTTCCGTAGAACTAATCTTGGGCTTAATTCCCCTTTGGTCAGGGCTCAAAAAAGTCATAATAATTTCTGTAATATAGATTTATTTAACATTAGCTTGACCTGCCTAAAAAAGGCTTTAAAGTATTACAGCTCAATGGCAGACTAAAATAGAAATGTTTTATTTCGTTTACATAACTCAAGTTATCACCTCCAATATCATTTCTGGTATAATTTCGATTTAATTTTGATTTCAGTTTTAATTAAACGTAAGTAAATGTTTAATTATGTATACTCCTTTTATTAAAAAGGTTAAATTAATAGTTTATTGCTTATAATTAGAACTACTCACTCAGTTTATGTTGTTACAACAATATCGGAAGATAAACAAAATATTAATATTAAAGTATTCAATAATGTAATGTATGTATATGTATACGATATTTTATGTAAGTTTAGTTTTAGTTCACTGAGGGTGTGTGTTGGGTTTACCTGTTAACACCCCAAACTGTATATAAATAAATAAATAGGGAAATTTCACTCTGCCCAAACCGATCCTTAGCGCAGCTGCTACTCGCTCTTGCATATACACATGAATTGGGTGATAGAGGACCATTGCTTTCAATCACTTTCTAAAAGTGCTCCTGATACAGACTGTCGTCATTGCAGTTCCAGCTTCAGGCAGTACTATGTTTTATATCCAAGGTCAACATGAGGAACCTAAAAGACGCGTCCATGACAAGCAAACTGACATACTGGCAGTCATAGGCATGAATGTGAACTGACCTAGAATTGACTCAAGTTTAAAGACATATAGGTTAGTTGACACTTTTTAAGTAGGTATGAAATAGTTATTTGTTTATTCATATTTTTGAGACCTTAAAAATCTTACTTACAAAATTGCATCACTACAGATTTAAAGTATCTGTATTAAAAATTCTACAAAACTACTCAATTGGCAGAAGTCAAAAGACCAAAATCTACAAGCTCAACAAATATTTCTGTTATTCTACCATAAGGTAGTAAACTAAATCCACTACTATTTATTTTATACATTTTTAATATTTTATACTATTGTGAAATTCAAATATTTGCAGATGATACATTAACAGACATACATATCGGATAAAAATATAGTCACTGCTTCAAAAACGCTGAAAATCATAAATTGGTTAAATGAAAATAAACTAAAATTGGATACTTCTAAAACAAAATGTGTATTGGGGAATACCTAAATATCACAGTGAGGATAAATGGTGAAATAGTTGAAAATGTTGAATCAATTAAATATTTTTGGTATATATATAATTATATTGATAGTGAACTAAAGTTTGATGACATGCATACATTATTTCAAAAATTGACAAAATTCAAACTACTTCTATAGGGCTTCTCATAGTCTTGCTATATAATCCAAAAAAATTGTTTATAATACAATAAATATTTAGCTGTATTCTCGAAATTACAACTCATACAAAATAAATTATATATTAAATAGTAATATAACTAGCAAATTAATATTTCAAAAACCAGTACTTGAATTTAATAAGCTAAATAATGTGTAAGTGAAAATCCTTAGAGATGCAATTTTTGTTTTTTCTAAATATCTGTACCTATGTTATGTAATTGTTTAGTTCTTTAAAAGAATATAATTGTGCCAAATATGCTAAATAAATCTAAAACAAACAAAAAAATAACTCAAAAATCGTTCAAAGTCAGTTAAGGACATAATATACTTATTGTTTTTCTGATTAAAAGTGACTCTTCTATCACCCCTTGTGTTTCATCCATTTGCGCCACCTTGTATATCAACGATGCGTCCGTCCTTACGCCATACACCACTCATTAAAGCTCTACTTTCCCTTTATACGCTAGAATGATTTGCGGTTCCGTTAATTTTGTATGTCTTTGATCCCTCGTTATTGCAATGCTATCTAGCTGGAAACCAAATCATGGCAAACACAAATGGTGGTCGGTTAAGCACCGATAGTTGTGCCCGCAGCGCCGCATTGCGGCGGCTTCAAGTAGTAAAAAGTTAATTACCTTCCTAGAACTCTCTGTTTCAGACGTATGGTTTGCACGACGAGTATAACGACGTCTATATTGCATATAGCGGCGTGTGGTTAAACGGTGTTCCAGAAATTGAGGGTACGTTTGCAGAATATCAACGCAGAATTGAGGTATCGACGTTTCAAGTTAAGGCACCTTTCTTAATGCATGATAAAGTGAGAGTTGAAATGACGTTAAGTAGGTTGACTCTGCACCTCTCTCGTAACGCAGTCATTAGTTAATAAACGATTATGTAAGGAACATATTAGCCCTCAGAGGAAAATTTTAGCTCAACATCCCAATCCAATCTGCATGTAAATGAACTAGATCGTTTCGTTCGTTCACAAATGACTACACTCCCTCCCCCCTGAACATAAATTCTGGGAACACCATTGCAACCCTTCTAAACATATAAGTCCATGCACAAAACGAATTTTGAGCAACTTTAATTCTGTTCCGTCTTTTGATATAGCTCCGAGACCGATTTCCAAAAACTATAAAGCTTTTCTGTTCTCGACATAATACACTCTAGTTCAAAATAAACGCAACAAGCAAAATTTCGGTCAAAATCGTATCGTCATAATTTTTTTATTTCTTATCCGATTTCATCATCGGCAAGTAGTAGGTACACTCATTGGCTTTATTGTGTAAATATGAGTTCTATTGTAGTCACGGTTTGACTTGCTATACAGGGTAAATCAGAGTGATGTTTTATTACCCCAACTTTGTGTCACTCTGTGGTGTGACCCCAGATGCCAATCAGGCTGCAATGCCATTAACAAGAACCACATTTTTTCTATGATTTGTTTTTTATTCAGATCAATATGTACAGTCGTTGAAGCTATAAAGGCAAATGAAGATCTTACGACCAATTCTCCTATCATCACTTAAATTCCCGTATGAAGTCCACAAAATTTTCATCAATTTGAATCTATTGCCTTTCTGTGATAGTTTCACATTTTTTCATTTCGTCATTACTTCCGTTCATCTCCAGTGGCGAAGAAAATGAAAAGTTTTGACTCAATTTAAGAACACGCTAAACAATTACTTCACGCTCTACCCCTTTGAAATATAGCCAACCATAACAATAACCATATGGCCATCATCATCTAATTTTAAGTTAATCAAAATTCGAAAAGCTCATAAGGTTATTATCTGTTCAGAATGCTCGAAAAAAACTAAAGAAATTTCTGAGCAAGAAAGAACAATTTTTAAAAAATGTTTGAAAAATTTTGACGCAACTTTGGGCCTGGCAAAATATTAAAATCCAAGCAGATACCGAGATACTTTCTAGAATACATACGGTTTCCTAATTGCGATCTTAATAACTACTACATTTCCTGTACTAGACTATATTTGTCACAAATTTTCTGGTATATACCAACGAACGTCATACTTCAAAACACTCATATGCAAGGTACACATACTCAGACTAAATTCTCTTGAGGCCAATTCATCAAGTCATTCCACAAAGACATAATTTTCACGACAAAGGATGTGTGTTGTGATAAAGACGCATAATTCTAAATTAACATTACATGCTCAAATACACTCAAACAAAGCGCGTTCTGTTCCCAAAATCCCGACGGTTCCTTGAAGAACTTGCGCCTGCAGTGACTTTGAGTTAATTCAGTGTCGTCCCGTTTTTAGTTCGGGATGAGGTATGCCTAAAGGTCCTTCTAAGGCTCTTGTAGCTGCTTTTTGTCCTTAAAATTACAAAATCATTAAAATCGGACACCCAATTGCGATAACAATACTTCCATCTCTTGTATTATGGAATCTGTCAACCATGCACGAGGTTTTTTCTCAGAATTTGAGGCGTGCCTTTTTAGGAAATCAAGATTAACGTTATCCTGAAAGTTTTGGTACAAAATTCATTGGCTTTAGTTTTAACAAACGCAAAATGATATCAAGTTGCCTTTGGAAACAAAAGTTTGTTTACTTACTTTACTGTCCGTTGATATTTATTTATTTTGAAGTTTTCGCTTTAAGATGTCGCACAAATTAGAAATAAAGTATCTACAAGTTCCTTTCCTTTCCTTTTTTAAATTGATTGATGGATTAATAAATTACCATAAATGAAATCTAAGGGTCAGTCAATACAAAACAACCGTCTAACGGCGTGCAAAGTTAGCACGATTAAGCGGAGAGTAGGGGGATTAAGAGCGCCAGTGACTTAATTAGAGACAAATCCCCAAGATATTAATCGGAACTTGTCTAGCCTGAACACCCAGACAAAAGAAAAGTTTCTTACAGTAACGACAAAACCTAATTAATTGTGCACAATTATTTTAACACCTGAACCTAAACTTCTCTGTATAATGGTCTCCTTCCAGTTACGGCTCTAGGCGCAGCTGAAATGTCCTCAGCTCACAAACGCTCAGGTCAAAAACCAGTGGGCAGTAGTAGGCAGTGACAAGATAGAGGCTGCTTGCCTAGTTTTCCAAAATTTACGGTATTAGAAAACCCTAGAGAGAGAAAGACTTGTTAAAAATCTACTCTCTATTCTCTGTCTGAGACAGAACTACCCATTTAAAACACTTAAAACTTGACGAAAAATCCATGTACATTCCCTTGCACAAGTGCAAAAAAGATAAAAATGTACTAAAGTTGTTCCAACATAAAGTTATGGCAGCTCAAAAATCAAAATCATAATCAATGTAATGTAGTAAGCCCAAAAAACGGTGACATGTAGGCACTGCCCTATATTTGAATACGAAAAATACCACACAAAATCAAGGACAATCTAAGAATTTCAGTCAACAATAATTAATATATTAATAACGATGAAATACTCAATTAAAATGATATTTTACCTGTCCACATCAGCGTTTTTTGTCAATGGTAAGGGATGGCTTCCAACAAAATCGGCTACGAAATAGCTACAAGGCAGCTACAAAACAAAGCTGGAGCAGTGTGAATGGTGGTTATCCGCAATGCCTTTCCACTAAAAGGAACCAGATACTGAACAAACTTCTTCAGGACATGCATTAATGGACGGTGTCCGATGGTATAAAAGGTTAAAATCTCATTAGAAGATGGACGGGGTAGCACCCAAACCAACACAACTAAACGTAAGGTACAAAATAAAAGGGTACTACTCGATAAAGTGGTGTTTGGGGCGTTAATATCCCAGAATCTGGAAGTTAACGAAACAACGCCCACACACAACCAAAACCACAGCAGATAGAAAAAGGAAATGACGCTGGGCCATCAACGCAACTAGTATGTAAGTGGCGCGCTGGTAGAACCAAATCTCTCTACGAGGGATCAATAAATTTTTATGAAGAAATTTCTGAAATAGTCTTTAATAATACTATAACTGATAACTAGTATTTATATAAATTTCTTCATTAAGAAAATCCGATAAATAGTTTGTGCCAAAACTTTTATGACATACTGACTTTCAGGAAAATACTTTTAAAGTTACTTTTCATAGTCATCGTCTGAATACTCTTGATTCCGTAGCGCTAGTTCACCTTCAGTCGAGACAAATTTTCTGTAACTTATAATTGATTATCGCGTAAATTTTTGAAAAATACATTATCATTCAAAGCCTAAAATTCTTTGAAACCATCGGATTTTTTTCTGATAAGCAGTATGGTTTTAGAGCACACAGAAAAACGACTTCGGCTGTCAAGTGTCGTGGAGGTTTTCCACACCAGGCAGTATGCTTTTGTTCTCTTCTGAGACCTGAATAAAGCATTCGAT